AGAGAGAGAGAGAGAGATTTGTAAAAACACCTAATATTTATATGTAATATTTATAATACATGTATTTTTACAGAGAAATATTAGAATTAAAATTGTGCTATTTACAAATGGGTTTTCAGAAAAAATTGTTTTACATTAACCAGTTTTGCTTTTAGCTTTTCAAAAAGTTTGTAAATGTTTATATGACCATGTGTTGATAATTGTGTATTGAACAAATGAAAAAATTAAAGAGTGTAACTGGTTTTATATGTTGCTTATGGTAAGGAAAATATGATAGAATTTATTTTGAGGAATGTGCCTTTGGTTTATGCAATGAAATGAGTATTGGTTTAAACTTGCTGATAAAAAATGTTTCTTTATTATTACACTTTGTTTGGTGGTTTTGTAGTTACATTGGTAGAATAAGAAGCCATTAAAATTTGGTAGATTTCATTCACTGCTTTCCTTTATATGTTGTCTAAGGGATATTTTTCTGGTGTGGAGATCCCTAATTTGTTGGCAATGTATTGTCATCCTTTGTTTGAATGTCTGGACGGTTTGATCAATGTAATGTTTGTGGCAATATTTGCATGTTATTATGTATATTAAATTCTCTGAGTTGCACAAGAAATTATTTTCAATTTTGAATTTGGATCCATCTTTGAAGTAAAATTTGTGGCCTTCTAATAGGTAGCTGCATATTCTGAAAATGGGTCAGTTGCATCTTTTCATCTGAGGCTCTTTAATTGTAATCTTCAGTTTGGCACATCGTCAGTATTTTTTTAGTGATTTTGGTTGTAGTTTACTTTTTAAGATTGGGTATTTTGGTAATAGTTTTTTTCATTTTTTTTTTTTGTCCTTTAGTAAAATTGGTAGATTTAGTTGTATGTATGTGTAGATTTCTATGTTCTTTAGATTGAAAGTTGAGATATAAGGGATGACCTTTTTTTCTTTTTGTTTCTCAGAGAGTGTGGATATTAATTTGTTTTGCTTTTTCAATGCTATTGTTAATTAAACTTTGAGGGTATTTTCTCTTGATGAGTATTTTTTTGTTATCTTCTAGTTTGTGCAACTCAGAGAATTTAATATACATAATAACATGCAAAGGTTACCATGAACATTACATTGACCATTGTACCAGTGCAAGACATAAAGCTATTGGGGTAGAAGAGACGGCTACATCTAGCAGTTTTGACAGTGAAAGGGTGGGACTGAGATGCCAACCTAATAGCACACTTAAATTCATGCAGTTTGGGAATCAGTGAAAGTAGGTCGTTGGAGCAGTTATCATGAAAATATTTGTAGAAAAGACAGAGGGAAGCGACGACACGTCTGTTAGTGATTGACTGTAAACGAGATGCCACATCAGGGCCAGTCACATTGCATATCCATCTCTGGATTTTGTTGAGGACCTTAAGATGAAAACCGGAGCTCCAGATCTTATATGGCAGTAGTGTTCCATGCAAGGGCGAATGGTTGATTTATAGATTTGAAGGATGGACTGAGGTGAGAAAAACTTTCTAGCATGACACAGAGAACCAACTTTCCTTGAAGTAGATGAAGCTATTGATTCAATGTATTTGTTTCATCTCAAGTCAGTGGACAGTGTAAGACCAAGCAGTCGCAAAGAAATGCTCTTGTGAAGTTGAGCATCAGACATTCTAATGGGAGGCAGGGAGGGTTCTCTGTGGTGGGTAAAAAGAGAGCAGTTTTGTTTTTGAGACATTAAAGTTTACCAGTCATTTCTTGCCTCATATATATATATATATATATATATATATATATATATATATATATTACTGGTAATTGATCCGTTGGTATATAATTTGAGTGGATCCTAGTAATATTAATTATTAAAACTGATCCACAAAGAGCTTGATGTATTTATTATAACAGAGCATACATATTTTTTTACAGCAAAAACCCCAAAATTGCCTCAACATAGGAGATAGGCTATTTCAAGTTGTTCTGTACATGGCTATCATCAGCCCCCAAAGTGTCTGTCTTGGAGCATTGTTTTAAATTTATTTTCAATGACATTGAAAATAAATTTAAAAACAATGCTCCAAGACAGACACTTAGGTGCTGATGATAGCTGTGTACAAAAACAGCTTGAAATTTTTTTTTTTTACTGTAATATATATATATATATATATATATATATATATATATATATATATATATATATATAAGTGTATTTAAGCAGGAAGAATTCATCCAAACAAGTTTTATTCAAATCCACCAACAAGGTCTGTCTATTCAACTTTTTATTATTTTATTATATCTTTCCCTTTTCTGAAGGGGATGTTGTACATGGAAATTGAGTATTTGTCCAAAGTTCATGTTTTTTGTCACTGTAATAGTCAAAAGTACTTGAATATAATAAAAAATCATGAATTTTGAGAATTTATTCATAACTTCAATCCTGATGTACAACATCTCATTCAGATTTTGAAAGCTATAAAAAGTTGAATAGACAGTTGATTAGAATCATTGGTGGATTTTAATAAAACTTATTTGTGCATATATATATATATATATATATTCTGTGTATTTAGGCAGAAAATGATCTTTGAGGCAAATATTATTTCTTTAATAATATTTGCCTCAAAGATCATTTTCTGCCTAAATACACAGAATATATATATATACAGCAGAAATTTTGTGTTGATTAATTTTACTGATCAACTTTTCCAAATTATGAATGATCCTACTTAGACAAGTATTTTAGAAAAGTCGATCAATAAAATTAATCCATACAAAATGTCTGTTGTCTTTAATAATATATATACATTGTGGTCACTCTTGTTGCGGTGGGTAACCAATGCATTTGATGTATTGTTTTGTAAAATGTCTCTTTTGTGCTCATATAATCTTTTATTTAGATTCTTTGAATTTTCTCCCATGTATAAATTTCTATTCTTAGCATAATAACAAAATAAAATCTAGTATAATATCAGATTCTACTTAAGAGCACTTAGAATTTGCAGCCCTCAATATTTACATGAAGAGGAGAAATACATTGAAAACACTTTCAAGCTTCTTCAGTACTCTAATTATTTTATATATATGAAACAAAAGGCTCATAAAATATTCCAAAATAAAATAGAAAAACAACCCCCTCCTGACATATTCAATAAATCAAAAAAATATATTGTCCTACCAACTAACTGTCATATCTACAATTGGAAAGAATCTATCTAAACTCAACATAAAATTAGTTACTATAACATCTAAAACAATAAAAGACTTAGTCAACATTAAACAAAACAATAAGCTAACACTTGAAGGAGAAATTTACTTGATTACCTGTAATAATTGTCACAAAAATACTATAGCGAAGAAAATGGCGACTTGCCTCGTCAAACCAAACGACAACGCGTCGCGTGTATTCTACGACAGAAAATGTGGCAAAAAAGAAAATTACTTACCAAACAAAAGGGCACATATTCAGCATGACATGCTGAAAATGGAATATTTGAATTAAAAAAAAAAACAACAAACAAGTCTGTCGCAGGAGTCTCTATAAAGTATGTTGATATGCAAATTACTGAACATCCTCTCCCAGCTGTCAATGAATTGAAAAGAAAACGTTCAGCCGATAAAAGCAGTTGGTGTTCTCGAATCGGGGGAAAAAAAGTTGGCGATTTTGGCTGCCAAGGGAGTTATTTTTCTGACTGGTTGCGTGCATTGTGATTTGTGAAATAGTACTTGCGAATCGAGTTTTTGGCATTTTCTTTCTGTCCGCGATGTTCGAGTCTGAACTTAGTGATTTATTCTCGGCGAAATGGAAATAATCTGCGACAAACATTTCCTTTGCAATCCCAGATCACTTACAAATACATCGGAGAAACCTCAAGGAATCTAAATAAAAGACTATATGGACACAAAAGAGACACTTTACAAAACAATATATATGTATATATAGATACACACACACACTTTAGGGATTCCACATCAGTCAACTTCCCAAACCTTCTTTCTAAAATCTAACCTTGTGACCAAAACATCAAATTTTGATTTTTTTTTTTGAAGATTTTTTTTATCAGTTTGAGATTTTTTAGCATCCTATCATAGAAATTATCAATAATACAGCTGTTTGGTGCAATATACTCTTCTTCATGAATAAGTCTCTTCATATTGGAAGAATGATGCAATGCAATCTTCACTTCAATTATCTCTGATGTGGTCTTATGTCATATTAAACAAGATTTAGTAACTCTTTGTAATAAACTCAACCTTTTTAGAGAACTTAAGGCACTTATTTTCCTGAAAAATTGTTTTAAGAGAAAGTTGTTATAAATTTCAACCAACAGTAACTGTTTGGTCAATTAATTCTGAATGTTTCCATATAAGGAAATGGCTAATCTCATAGTCCCCATTTTTTGGCACTTGGAATTAAATTTTAATCATCACAAGATTTAGTTTATTACTCTATTGTTTTGACAGATATGTAAATAAATTAAAAATTTTTTTATCTTAGCTTACACCCACATCATGTTGAAACACTGGTTCGAGCCTGATCACTACCTAGGTGGGTGACCGCTTGGGAATACCAGGTGCTGTAAGCTTGGATGTGAGTTTTGTATAAAAGACTTACAGTCATATCATATTGAAACACCAGTTCTATTTCGATCCCTGAAGTTAAGCAATGTCAAGCCTGATCAATACCTAGATAGATGACCATTTGGGAATATCAGGAGCTGTAAGCTTGAATGTGAGAATGGTGTAATGGATAATGGCTCAGAATTGTTAATCAGAGAGCCAAGTTCCAATTCTTGTTGGGTTCATTATATTCACTTACATGCAAATACCCCTCGGAAAAGTATGAATCCATCTCTTCTCCCTCCAGCTATGGGTTAATTAATAAGACTTGTATCATTAAATCATTATTATCTCCCAAAGAAAAACTTTTTATAATCTACAAATATTTTCTTGCTTTAAATAATCGGCAAGGGGTTGATAACCCATAGAAAATGAATGAATGAATCAATCATTTTTCTTCTTTTGCTTACTTTCAGGAAGGACTGATTGGATATTTACAAAGGAAATTGCCAGCCTTGATGAAAAAGGCCAAAGTCAGACTTGTGGTGGTCGATTCAATTGCAGCCTTGTTTCGTTGTGAATATTCCGCCCACGAATCAGTTGCCCGTGCAAAACAGCTGTCCATTATCGCTCGAGAATTGCATCAGCTGTACACTAAACACAATATCCCTGTCATTTGCGTAAACCAGGTTAGTATTATGACATGCCATCAACATATAACTGTGGCAACTATTGGAACTGTACAGTAAGCTTGATATATTTGGGAAGTATATTAGAATAACCCAGAACTTATACAAAAATAGAAAGAGATGTAAAACAAGGATAGGTCCTCTCACCAAACTTATTCAATCTTTACAATGAGGTGATTCTGAAAGAATTAGAATTTCTACCAGGATTCATCATAGGCTATCACAATCTTAACAACATTATATATGCAGATGACACGGTGTTAATATCAGGTTTAGAAAGGTAACTACAAGAACTCTTAGAGAAGGTAGTAAAAGAAAGTGAGAAGGACTAAATATCAATTATAAGAAGATAGAATGTCTAGTTTTTGGGGTTTTTTTTAAGCATTACGCCCTGAGCAAGGCATGAAGCCACTAGGATGCAGGGGGTTGCAGAAGATTTGGAGCGAGAGCAGATAGGAGTGATAGAGGAAAGGATGAGGAGAGGGATAGTGGATAGATCAAGGTAATTGGAGATGTTGATTGATATAGTTGTCAGCAAAAGGGACAGCCCAAGATGTGAGTTACAAATTGGAGATGTCAAAATCAAGCAAGAATTTAAATATCTCGGAAGTGTCTTAATGAAGGATGGAAAGTGTGACGCCAAAATCTGAAAGCACATTGGGATAGCAAAAGATGCCTTCCAAAAGCTAAGAAAAGTATTAAGAAACAGGGTTATTTCATTAGAAACAAAGAAAAAAGTACTGAACTGTTATGTAATATCAGTTCTAAATGGCAGTGAATGCCAGACAATCTCCTCGCAGATGAAGAAGAGACTTGAGGCAACAGAAATGTGATTCTACAGAAGGATGCTGAGAATACCATGGACTGAATATGTGAGCAATAACAAAGTTTTAGAGGAAATGGAAACAAAAAGGATACTGATACTTAGCATCAGAAAGAGATAGTTGAAATTTCTAGGGCACATAATGAAAAAAGAGGGCTTAGAAAATTTGACACTCACAGGACATATTGAAGGCAAGAGGGACTAAGGAAAGCAGTGCATAACCTACCTAATAAGCTTGTGTAAATGGTTGACAGAACAAGCACTAGGAAAGAGAGTGAAAAGACAAAATTTGGTACTACTATAATATATCTACCATCCATTTTGTACTATAGAATGATATCTACTATTCATTTTCTACTATAGTATGATATTTACCAACTGTTGGAAGTATGATATATGTTAGAGTTAAAGGCAGTGAACAGTGAACTGGTTATGTATTAAAAATCATTAATAATTTTTTATACAAAAATATTTTTAAAAAATCATTAAATAGTAATTTTAATGTTTGTAAACTGATTTGATGTCATTTAAAAAAGAGAGTAAATTTCTGAGTATTTTCCAGCAATAATGAGTGCATTGTCGTTTATGGTAGATCGCAAATGTCTCAGTAGATATCATACTATAGTAGCACACCCAAAATTTACTAAGAGCTACAAAGAACTGTAAATTGTAGAGTGCTATGATCATCAATGTCCTGAAAGTACAAAGTGCATAGAAGGGGAAAAGAATTACCATTTCATCTGATGAAGTTAAGTTGGCATAAACAAAGTGTATCTTGGGTTGAAAATTGCTCAAATGGATTCCCAACTACAATAAACTGTGGAGGAATGGAGGAAGGTTTTGCAGGCTTATCTCATAGAACATTATATTTAATGAGTTGCTCAACTCTTCTAACCTTAGGCCTGATTTATCTAAGCATATATATATATATATATATATATATATATATATATATATATATATATAATTTGAAAATTATAGGATAAATATGCTTTAAAATCACTACAAAATAGCCATTTTGTTTCAACACTTCTGGTGTCTTATCAAGTGATGATGTTGAATGCCAACACTTGATAAGACACCAGAAGTGTTGAAACAAAACGGCTATTTTTGTAGTGATTTTATAACATATTTATGTTATAATTTTTGAATAAATTATATTTACTCTACTCTGTATTGATCACTCTTTTAAGAATAGTATTTTTTGGTTATTGGAATTCCATATACATCAATCCTATACTTTTGTGTATATATATATATATATATAATATCCAAGACACTGACCTTGCAACCATGGTTTCTGCTAAGATGTCTTCGTCATGCAACAAGTCAAGTCTTGCTGACTGATGAATCCATGTCAGTGTCTTGGATATTTTATATCTTAAATTACCCTACATTTTTGTTTTATGAAAATTGTATTGAGCACTCTTTTAATTTCGCTGTTCTTTTGGCAAATATATGCATAAGTTTGGATTTATAATTATATATATATATATATACAATCATGGTGTAATGGTTAATAAGCTATTCTAACAGAACATTACCAATGTATAATGAATTTGATCTTAACTGGCTACTTCACACTGATAGCTTTGTGTCAGACTAACTAAACTTAAAAAATATTGATTCAAAAAGTGTCTGTAAAGATGATCACTAGACATAGAGGATTAAACTCTTTAGTTTAATTACAAACCTTTTAATTTCACCTCCCAAAATCTAGATGACCAGAGCCTGGTAGCTGATCTCTTCTCTGAACTAGCTCTAACTGCTTGTCACTTTCAATGTCTCCATTTGCAATTAACATTGCATAACATCAATAGTAAGTAACTCACATTCAAAATAGGTTGTGTAATATTGGTTCCAAAAATTTGTTCCTGGTGATCTGAATCTCCAAGATGATCCTGGTTATGGTGATGTGTCATGATTCAATAAAGAATTAAGGGCAGCCATGGAGGCTCATCCAGAAACAAACCAAGTATTAGCAACAAAGCTGTATGTTTGCTATACAACAATTGGATAGCATCTGCTATAAATTGACAAAATGAAGAAAATGCAGAAGTCAATAGCCTATGATTTGATTGATGATCAGCAGTTGCATGATTTCACACTTGCTGAAATTTGCTGGTTCATTTAAAAAATGACTCTTTTTGATTGTATATTTACAATTGATGAAAAGTGGTTTCTGTATAATAATTGGAAAGGCCAAGAAGGTTGCTTCCCAATCAACCTTACAAAAATCAGATCTTCACTCCAAAAAGAAATTTTTAATTATTTGGTGATGCTATAATGAAGCAAAATTCATTACAGCCTGTTGCAACCTGGTCAGACTATCATGATTTGGAACTGGTGCACCAAAAGTTAATGAGAAATGCTTTCTGTATAATATTTGGCAACATGACTTTCATTTGGCTGAAAAACTTGCTCCTTCATCAATCTTTCTGAAAAGAAAATATTTACACATGCTCACACCCTAGCACTCTTAGAAAACTTCTGAGCATTTGGTAGCATGGCCATGGAATCATCTATTACAACCTGATCAGACCATCATTTATCAAGATTTCACACTGATTTTCTTATAGTGGCAAAGATTTTGCTCAGCAGTGCTGAATAGAAATAAATCTATCAAGCTGCAGGATGATGTAAGAATTTCTATTTTACAAGCCACTGGTTCAAAACTGATGCAATTAGGCATAAAGATCCTGCTACACCCTCCTTTTTGCCGGAACTGTTCTTTACTGATTACAACTTTTTCCAGGTTTTATATGTATAAGTGCTAGCATGTGTACATCAATATGGACCAACTTGAAATACTGACAGTTTTTTGACTTCATGTAGCCAAATATGCTGCTATGACACCTATCCCTCATAAAATAAAGCAAATAAAAAATAAAATTGTCTGTGTATGCAGTTCAATGGATGTACCATTGGGATGTGAAGAATTGAGGCTAGTGAAGGAATTTTTCCCAGTTGTGTGTATGTGTGTGTGCGTGCTTGGCTGTGTATAAGTGGAATGAACAAACCCAAGGCTTGAAATAACTGTTTAACAACTTTTATTTATGATTGAAAGAGAGAGTGCAAAATAGTAGTATATTGTGAGGGGAAAAAGTTAGGTTTCCCAGTTAATAAAGTTCTTGAGTAGATGTTTTATAGAAAGAGATATTTTCCCTTGTTCCCACAGAAGGAATGAGAAATTTGAATGTGAAACAGCTAGGACTAGTACAAATTTTCTGCAGCAAGAGTTGTGTGTAGTTTTTCTTTTGGGAAGATGTCTTGAAGGGAGATTTCTCTGCTTTTTCCCTGAAGGAACAAGAAATCTGCTCAATCAAGCTGCTAGGACAAGGCAATGGTTGTGAATAACCCTTCAAGCTGGGCTTGAAGGTACAGGCTGCTAAAAGGGAAAAAGGAGCAGGCCTTGAAGGTAATGGCCGCTGAAAAGGAAGATGGAAAAGTTGTTGAAGAGGGCTTGGTCAGCATTGTTATTATTTCTGGGACTTCCAGTTGTACTCTGCTGATTACTTCCATTGCTGCTAATGCTGAATTGAGCAAAGTAAGGAAGCTCCACATGCCACAATAGCCAACAAGTGAGATAGTTTGTATACTAGAAATAACACAAAAATGCAATACATGTCATAAGTTAACAATTTGAAAAAACTAATTGTCTTGCTTGCATGTGATTTTTTAGGGACAATGAGAGGACATTTAAAGAAAGATCAGAGTGACCTTAAATATGAGAGTATTTTATTGTGTTCAATCCTTATGAAAGGCACCTTTTTTCTGTTTCTTTATTTTTTTTAAAATAAATACTATTTATTTATTAGATTGTTTATTTACAAGAAAAAATTTATATTTACAACATTTTAAAACTAATACAATTAAAACATTTATCATTTACCAATCTATAAAGAAATAAATATGAAAACAATTTTTTATTAAATTTATAAATGCTTACTAAATTTTTCAAATATGCAAACCAACTGTAAGGAAATCCTTATTATTTACCATTTTATAAAGTTTGAATCAATTGGCAATTAGCCAATGTTTTGCCAATCATTCCAATAAACAGTATAATAAATAGTTTAAATAAACAATCTTATAATTTTGTTGGTCTCTCACTCAACTGCACTCCACACATAATAATCAAAGGGGGTTACAGTCTGTGAAGTTAGATGGCCAGATGTAAGGAGTGATGTCATAGAAATTGACTGATAAATATGACTGGGTTCTCCTTATTGTGTGGTATGGTACAAAGTCCTGTTGCCAGACATAGGGTCTTCCAGTAGCCACACTCTTGAGCCAGGGCAGCACTACCTCCTCAAGGCACTTGTATTGAGTCTGAAACCCTGTGAGAAGATGAATGGAGGCATGACATCACCATCATGAGTGATCACTCCAAACACCATGATGTTGACTGAATATATCATCCAATACTTTCTAAATCCTCTTCACTGTCTTCAGATTGATGCCCAAACACTCTAAAATGTTCATATTGGAACTTCTGGTGCAAATATCAAGCAGTACATCATAGCATTTCCAAATTTCTGGCAGAATGATTTGTGCCAAGGTGCTCTTTTTCTCATAGACAGTGCCGAACTGACCCTACTATACTGTGCAGTTGACAAAATCATGTTCATGTGCAAAATTAAAAATATAAAATTACAATAATTTACCCATTGCACCTAGTGTGTATATATATATATATATATATATATAGTCATCCACAGACAGACTGTTTCATTGTATCACAGCTCTTCAGTGTGGCTAGACTTTGATTGCTTCAAGTCAGGATTGAAACCCAACCAATCTGGCATCAGTCAAAGATCCTACCCCTAGGCTATCATTGCACACCAGAGAGAAAAGAAAATTTTAACGTTTTCTATATGAAATACGCCAGTGGCCCAGAGAGCTCAATTCAGTTGAAGAGCAATATATTTCAGGGAAGTTAGTTTGTTGAGGATTATATATAGATCCTGCTAAAAAAAATAGTGATGCCTGATCTGAAGACTGTTTGCAGCAGTCACCTTGTAGTGTTGATCCCTATGTCCACACTGCCTTACTCTCTCTCTTCTCAGAAATATAGACAGATATCTTGTCTAGTTCTTATTTTTAGTACTGTTCAGTTATTGCCCAATCTGTTTCCACTGATTTAAAGTTTATTCTGCCCAGCACAGGAATTGAACTCACAACTACTATGTCAACAAATTCACAAACCTGCACTTTAATTGACTTGGCTGTTATCCTGTAAGTTACCTGAACCAATATACACCTGATGATGGTCATAGTGCACAATGGCTGAAACATTGTGATAACACCAACAAAGATGAGGATAATAGTCTGCATGTAAATAATGAGGATATTGGTCTGGATAATGCCCAACTTGTATTGTTCATCTGTGTGTTTATTCTTGTAGGTCACAGCATCAATGAAGAAGAAAACAGAAAACGTACCTGCTCTCGGCTTATCATGGGCCAACCATGTAACAACACGTATCCTGCTATCAAGGACAAATCAAATAGCCCCACCTGAAACTCTGTCAGTCCCAACTAAGCAGTCATCAACCAGTCACATGCTCCGATACCTTGAAGTAAAGTTTGCCCCTCACTTACCAATGATGACACTACCTTATTGCATAAATAAATCAGGTGTTCAGGGTCTGAGCTGCCAACTCTGAAAACCAGATGTGAGTTTTTTTCACTTTGCTTGCCTTTGGATTTAGTTTTGCGTCCCGATGGTGCTTGAATCCTTACCTTTCTCGTATTTAGAAGAAGAAAAAATCCCAAGTGGAAGGAAACCTTTACCTCATGAGTGGCATAAACAAGAACTAAACGTTTTTATTAACAATATCATATAAACATAACCAGAAAACAAATCACATCTTTGTTACCATTGTACATGAATTATGATGTCTGTTTCTGTCTGTTTTATAATAATCATAATTTTATAGAAGTGAAAAGGAAGAAAATAAAACATCAGAAAATTAATTCATAATAAAATTTTATTGTTGCATCATTTATTGCTCTTATGTTATTCTTACATTTTCTAATTTGTTCATCCATGCCTCCAAAAATTACATTTTTTATATATTTTTCCCAATTATTAATATGTACAAATTATGAAAAGGGGGGATCAGTTTACTACTTAATAACAATATAAAATCGATCCCCCACTTCATGTTCAGTAGAATCCTATAAGTCTGTGCATATCTATTATGGCCTGCCATTACCCCATTTTGATTCAGAAGATAGATAGAAGAAAATAATATAGATATTGTTGTTATGTGCCATGCATGATACACACTTAAGCGATCATGTGTTTTTCGATACATGACTGATGAGGCAGATTTTTTTTTTTCTCACAGTAGGTTTCTATTTCTTTCTGTGTTAGGCCAGTTGCCATCCAAGGCTATAGAACCTGGTCTATCCTGCTATTTACCCATAGCTAGGGGGAGAAAAAGAGGATTTATACCTTTCCCAAGGGTATTAGCACATAAGTGAATGTAATGGATCTGACTAGAATTTGAACTTGGCTCTCAGATTTCTCGATCCAAGCTGCTATCCATTACTCCATCATAGATACACTGAAAAAGAAATCATACGCAATAAGAACAAATGAAAAATTAGAAAGGGGTCACAGATTTTTCAATGTCCAAGTTAAAGTATTAGATGCCAAATGATGAGAAATGGGGGAGAACTATGACTAAGAATATTGGATACAAAAAAGGTGTTAACTTAATGATGTTAGAAATTTGTATATACTTTGTTATATATAGGGTGAGGCATAAATAACTCCCACATTTTAAAGTAGAGGCCTCTCCAAAAAACACAATACCTAAGGTTTAAAATGAATTTTTAAAAATGATCTCCAGTAAGATTTGAACCTGCATTCCCCTAGAGGAAACCATCATCAGATCTGGAATGCTTTGACCTCTCAGCTACAGAGAGTGTTGATGACCAGGGAATGTTGAATAGTGCCTTTGAATACAGATTTTTCTCTGATTCTTAAAATAGACATTTCTGTTCAGTTTCATATCCCAACATAAATAAAGCAATTTGTGAAGAAAGGGATGGATTTTTTATTTATCAATCCAATAAATTCTTATTACTTATACTTTACATTTAGTGGATACTCATATTTTGAGTAGGCACTTTATTTATTAAACAGTATATTTGTCTACTGCCTGAATATTCTAGAAATCTTATTAGAGAAAAACATGTGCTAAAGACACTATTCAACTTTGCTTGGTCATCAACACACTCTGTAGCCAAGAGGTCAAAGCACATCAGATCCAATGGCAGTTTCCCCTCAGGGAACGCAGGTTCAATTCCTGCCAGAGAGAACATGTTTTTCTAGATAGAGACTAAAATAGATAGATACTGAAATAGAGATACTGAAAGAAATAGAGACTGAAATACATTGATAGATAAATAGATAGAAATTGAAATAGATACTGAGATAGATAGGGACTGAAATAGATAGATGGGGACTGAAATAGATAGATAGGGACTGAAATAGATAGATGGGGACTGAAATAGATAGATGGGGACTGAAATAGATAGATAAATACAGACTGAGATAGAGAGGGAGTGAGATAGAGACTGAAATAGATAGAGATTGAGATAGACATCTAGAGACTGAATTAAATAGACAAATAGAGACTGAAATCAATACTGAGATTGATATTGAAATAGGTAGATAGATACTAAAATAGACATAGAGACTGAGATGTCTAAATAGAGACAGACAGAGACTGAGACTATATCTATCTGTTTCTATTTATAGATGGATAATAAACAGAGATAGAAAAAAAAGAAATAGGGAACAATAAATCTGTCTATATTTTTGAGATGAGGGATTTTGTACACTATTTACATTATTCGGACTATTGTCGCCATTTTTATTACAACTTTTCGGCCGTTGTACGCTCCAGCCTTCTTCAGGTAGTTGGAATGTTGAACTGAACCTTTTATTTGGCTCACTGGGGTAGACTGTTCTAGTTCCAGGTGCCATGTTTAATGGATGTCAGTTATGCCGACCAAGCATAGAAATGAATACAATATAGGAACCAGTAATAAGGAGTGCCAGAGAAAAGCGATAATAACAACAAAAATTGCAATATGAGCTCGGGTAAAAACATGCAATGATAACAACAAAAATTGCAATATGACTAATGGTAAAAAATGATTGCTGAGACATTAGGTTTATAATACTCAGAAATTCATACACAGATATCCTCAAGGACACATGGCACATTGGTTAGATCCAGTAACAGGACCCAAAGAGTGTGAGTTCAATACCTGGTTAAGGCAGTGGAGAACTTGGAGAGGGGAATTAACAGGAGATAACTGATAACTGACATTCATTAGACATGGCACATGGAACTAGAACAGTCTACCCCAGTGAGTAAAATAAAGGGTTCAGTTCGACATTCCAACCACCTAAAGAAGGCTGGAACGTATAATGGCCAAAATGTAATAAATATGGTGACAAAGATGAGGACAATAGTCTGAATAATGTAAATAGGAAAAAAAATAGATACATGTGGCATGTACTCATTGCTGATTTTGCAAGTACTTGAATGTACTGACTAATACCAAACCTACCTTTGAGTTTTCAATAGCCAAATTGGGACAATTATTCACTTTTGGAGAAAAATCTACCTAGGAAATCCTTATTCCAATCACCCCTTTTGTTTGATAGCCAGGAAATTTCCTTTCATCCTTTAATGTAGGCATTCTAGGATGAATCATTTAATCTGAATATTTTGTGAAAGGGGTGATTGGAATAAGGACATCAGGAGTGGATTTTTCTCCTAAAAAGAATAATTAGCCTGTCTTGTCTATTTGAAATTCAAAGGTAACTCTTTAAAAAAAGAAAAGGAAAAAATCAGCATTTGCGATTCTAGCTTTTATCAGGCTTAAAAAAAACCCCATGAAGAATGCCGGTTTGTATGAAATACCCAACTATTTCAGCCAGCAGGCAGATTCAGTGATAGTTGAACAAATAGGATAACAAAGCAAAGACTGAAAAATGAGAAAGAGGAAAAAAATATCAGGAAATAAGCAAGGCAGCATGCTGAACAGGTGGAAGAATTAAAAAAACAAAAAGAAAGAGATTAAAAAAATTCAAGTGACAAGATAATAAGATTGATAACAACAATGGAAAATCAAACATTCTTCTCAGACAGGCAGACAGACAGACAGTGAGAAAATACATAAACAGACAGCAACCAAATCTGATGAGACATTCACTTTCTTCTTTCATGATGGATGCTCAAGTCATACTGAAACATCAGCTCAAGTGTGATCACAAAATTTACAAAGCGTTAAATTTGTTCAGTACTCAGGCTGTGGAGGAAGTAGGAATATCAAATACAGTAAGAAGTTTGGGGTCTTGTGCCACACTAATAAAATATAGTACTTAGATAAATGGCTATTTAAGAATAGCAAGTACTGTAAGGAGTTTGGAGCCTTGTCTAGACTAAGTAAGGTTTTTTAAGCATTGTGTTGAAACAAAAGTTTGTTAATTTTTCTTTCAAGTGATTTTCTAGGAAAATTAAAATATTTGTGCATAAATTTATTCGACTACATATGTGCCATTTTATTCCACCACTATTTGCAATCTTTGAGGAAGCTTCATGATTCCATCCTCCCAGAACTTGGTATTTTTCTGAGTGATGAACTGGTCTTAGTGGTTTTTACAGGCTTCCAAAGGATTAAAGTTACTCCTATTAAAAGAATTTTGTAGTGATTGAAATAAGTGGTAATCTGAAGGTGCAAGGTCAGGTGAGTACAACAGGTGCAGTTGGACATTCCAGCCAAGCTGTACCAATTTCTACCAGGTCCGCAAGGAGATGTAAGATCTGGTGTTGTCCTGATGGAAAATAATACCATAATGATTGGCCAATACTGAATGCTTTTCATCAATTGCTGCCTTTAATATATCCACCGGAAAATATTGTGTGAATTCAGTGTCTGATTTTGTGGTAGGAATTCATAATAAACAGTGCTCTTCCAATCCCACCAGATACACAGCTTCAACATCATTTGAAGTGATTAACAGTGGATCATTTCATTTTCCTCAGAGCTTTGTTTTATGTGAGCAGAGAGTCAAAGATGGAAATACAATCAAATAAATTATCTTCTTTAAATCATGAGTCATCCAAACATTGTAACAAATGACATATCCAAGATTTTTTGAAATGCCTTACAATACCCATATGAGATATGCGGAGTATCTCTGCAATGTTCTGTGTCATACGACCTGGATTATTTCTAATCAGCATTTCAATTTGCTCATCAATAACAACTGTAGATTTTCTGGAATGTCTCTGATCTTCCAGATCAAAATTTCCATTTCTGAATCTTGCAAAGCACTTATTAATAGTACTCACATTGAATAAATTACAACCATTATGTCTGCTTATTTTGATTTTGTAATATCCAGAAAAATATTTGCGAATATGAAAAGATTATAATCAAAATAAGCAGACATAATGTTTATAATTTATTCTGTCAAACATGCCTAAAAGAGAATTTTGCTGCCTAAATACACAAATTTTAAATTATATAATTCAGCAACCCACCAGAACAACATCACCTGGCATTTTAAATGTGGCCTTGTGAAAAAGCAGATCGAAGTAACTAATGATAATAACTCTCAACAAATGTATTA